TCAGCAATGCATTAAGAACAGGTCAGGATACACTGTTTCATGAACTCAATGGGAACTGTTCAGAACATTCTCAGACTCTTGTGCAGAAGCAGAGAAAAGATTATGAGCGAGACTTCCCAGAATGCAAGAGAGAAAAGAAGCAAGACTTCCCACAATGCCACAGTTATGTGCAGTAAGAGAACTGCAGAAAGAAAACTTCCCTTCAAATCTCTTTTAAAGTTCAGGGCTTTCTCTTAAAGTTTCACCAACACCTACCTTGTCTTAATAATGCAAGCTCATCCTGTTTCAAGAACAGGAGAGGGATGGCACTTGTTTTCCCTCCTTCTAAATATCTGTCATGTCTCCAGCTCTTAGCAGATTTCAACAACCCGTGGAGACTTCAAGGCACAGTTCCTGCATTCCAACCAGCTTTCAGGGTCCAGAAAAATAACATTCTGCTTTGAATTTTGCAAACATTAGTGGTGGCTCTGCGAACACATTTCATCATGGTGGCAACAATAAGAATGCTGTGTTGGCTTATCTTTCTGGATTCCTGGAAAGGAAGAAGGTTCGTTGACAAAATCTCAGCCACACATTAGTTTGCAAGCTTCAAGTGTTACGTAAATATTTTCTTTATTTCCATAAGCTAAACCTCTAGCTCAGTATATACTGAGCAAGGCATATGGGATCCCATCTGGGACAGCTGCATATAATTTCTCCAAGGAACATCTTTGCAACCTGCTTTACCACTTCTGCAAAGAATTCGGCATAATAATCTAGCTTTAGAAAAATCACAATCCTTGCCCCATACCCAACCCAGAAAAGTTGGGCAGGGAGGGTGTTAGGTACTAAACTTGGATCCTAGAACAATAGGCAGGTAGGATCCTAGAATGCAACAACTGATTGGCCTCCAGGAGAAGACCAATCAGGCTCCAGGAGGGAAGCAGAATCAGCCAATCAGACAGGACTCATTGTGTAAATAATGTATATAAAAGCCTGAGGTTTGGGGGGAGATTGTAAAATCACTGTTTTACAAGCTGCAATAAAGAGCATGAAATCACTGCAGGATTCCAAGTATATTTCGCAGGGGTTATAGCGTCATTGAACACAGTGGGACTTATCCCTGTCCTGAGTGAGTGTGCATAGGGCTTTGCTGTGTACATGAAGCTAAAGAACCACAAACAGCCCTTGAATTTTTCAACAGACAAGACTTCCAGGGTGGGAAGGGGACTTGTGTTACAAGTGTGCCCCTGACTCAAAAAGAATAAAAATGCTTCCAGGCCCTGGTCTTATTGGAAAGTCCTATGAATTCCTTCTCTCATTATGCACTCAGAACTGAAAGTCCCCCGCATTCCTTCTCTTTGAAGGTGTGTGTGGAAAGTACTTGTTTCAGCCATGTAAAAAGGTAAAGGACCACTGGATGGTTAGGTCCAGTCAAAGGCGACTATGGGGTGTGGCGCTCATCTCACTTTTCAGGCCAAGGGAGCCGGCATTTGTCTACAGACAGCTTTCCGGGTCGTGTGGCCAGCGGGACTAAACCACTTCTGGCGCACTGGAAGCCAGAGTGCATGGAAAAGCTATGTATCAACTCTTAATAAATGCTCAATACCTAGACAGAGGGGGTAGTGAGAGAAAAGGAGGCATATCTGAATGTCCAGCAGTTCACAGACACAGAGTGGATAATTGAAGCCCATTTCTGCAAAACTCGGGGAAAAGGATTAAAATTAATACACAGGTGACATTGAATTCTGATTTAACTTAGTTACATTAATCTGAATCTGTCCCCTCTGTGCTGCAGAGGATGTTCAATTAAAGGTACACTGCTTTACCCATGGTGAACCTTTGAAAAGGAACTGAAATCCTGGGGAACAAATTTCATTTTAATAAGCTAGATTGTACTGCAACCTGAGCTACCTGACCCTGCCTTGGCACTTCTATTTTTAAAGATGGAAGTTGACAACCCCTTGACGCACAAAGTACTGATACTTAAAGAGCTAGTAGCTGCCAGGCTGGAGAAATTTTGCCACTGGAAAGATTTGAGGAACCCCTCTGTTAATAATTAGGATAGGAGGCTCTGGTAGTCGGCTTCAGACAAGAAATGGACTCCACAATGTAAAGGGTCAAGGGGAGAAATATAATCAGAAAAATTATTGGGCGTTTGCTTCCTATTTATTACTTACACTAAGGCAAGGGATTCAAATGCTGCTCCAATTTCTTTTGGAAGCGATTTTCTGGTCTCCAGCTATGCAAGCATGATTTTTCTGTTATTGTGTTGTACGCTTACCTATCTGTAACAATACTACAGGAGGTTACTTAATTGTGGGTTTCTTTATTGTTGTTAAACAAAAACAACAAATTGATTTTTAAAAAAAGAATCAGAAGGGACTTTGAAAGGTCATCTCGTTCACCCTCCTGCTTGATGAAGGATCTGCAATGTAGAATTCAGCTGCAACAACCGTCCTCTTTAATGGAGAAGGGCAGTTCTGGAAGCTTCTGCAGTTGGTCTGTGGATGTTTAGTGCATGGACTGCTCAAAGGCCACAAAGAACATCTACAGCAAGGATGGAGAACCTGGCTCTCCAGATATTGTTGCACTGCAACTCTTATCATCCCTGACCATTGGCCATGTTTCCTCCCAGGTAAGGGGCACATCCTTCAGTATTCTCCTAAATTCCAAAAAATTCTATGCTCAGTAGATATCCAGTCTTTAAAATTTATCCTGAAGCATACCTCACAGTCTGAAAATGAGAAAACATTGTTGATTTTGAAAAATGGTTCTACTGCAACACATTTCTTTAGCTGCCACTATTTCTTTATTCTAACGGCAGGGAAGCAGCTGTAAGTCTGTGCACCTTAATTCTGTCTATTCTTCAGCCCTAGATTTCTTGCCACATACATATGTTCAAATAGCAGGTAACAATGCTGCTTAGCTGGCTGATGAGCCCACTCAAACAGATGGTCTTCTCGCTTGGCAGACTTGTAGCCATAATTGAAACACATAGACACTAAAGCTTCAGAAACACATGCAGGCTGAATGAAGTCTTTGGAACTGATGGATACATTCTCATTTTTTTGTGTTGGGGTTTCAGCTTTCCCACACCCCAGGTACTTAGTTGAACTAATAGTCAACAGAAGCACAGTGCCCCAGTCAAGGGAAGTAATAGTCCCATTCTATTCTGCCTTGGTCAGACCACACTGGACTACTGTGTCCAGTTCTGGGTACTGCAATTTTAGATGGATATTGACAAGCGGGAACATGTGCAGAGGAGGATGACCAAGATGATAAAAGGTCTGAAACCAACCCTTATGAGGAAATGATTGAGGGATTTGGGTATGTTGAGCTTGGAAAAGAGGACACTGATATGATAGACCTCTTCAAACATCTGAAAGGCTTTCACATGGAAGATGGAGCAAGCTTGTTTTCTCCTGATCTGGAGAGTAGGATCCACACCAATGGATTCAAGTTACAAGAAAGAAGATTCCAACTAAACATTAGGAAGAACTTTCTGTTTGACAGTGGAACAGTCTCCTTCCTTGAAGGTTTTTAAGCAGAGGGTGGATGGCCATCTGTCATGAATGCTTTAGTTGAGATTCCTGCTTTACAGGGGGTTGGGTTTAGTGACCCTCAAGGTACCTTTCAACTCTACAATTCTATGATTCTATATTTCAAGGGAAGAAAATGTATGAAGAATCCAAATTGCAATTGCAATCTACGGTATTTTAGGAAGCAAAATAGTCACCTTCCAATCTTGGACCTGAATACGGCTAGCACAGTCGTAGAATCATAGAATTGTTGAGTTGGGAGGTATCTCCAAGCGTAATCTAGACCAACCTCTTGCAATGCAAAAATCATAGCCTTATATTCAGCCAGACAATTGGTCTGTCTAACCCAGGAATCCCCAAGCTGAGTGCAGCCCCAATCCTAATTGGTCCCCACCTCCCAGGTTTTGCCCAAGCTGAAATTCTCTAGAAAAACATGTGACCTTCATCATCATTTTTATACAAAAACAAAAAACAAAACAACCACCTTTAGAATGTATAGCCTTTGATAAGAAGCCCAAGTGGCCAGCATATCTGCTATAGGCAGCAGAACGTTTGTCATATCCTGCTAGCTGGACATTTGACTCAGAAAGTAATTATCTTCAGCAGCAACTGGAGTTAATACTTTTGCTGTATTTGGCAGATACTATGATACATCTGTGCAATCAAAACATACTTGAGATAGCCCATTAGTTTTCTGCTCAATGGCAGAGCACATTGTGCTGTTCCAATGTGTTTTTTAAAGGATAACCTGCACTGTGACCCTCTCCCCCAGTAGTATGAAAGGAAGTCTCCATTTCTGGCGCAACTGCTCACTCAAAGGAATTTCATGTTGCTCCAATTATTGCTTAGAGGTCAGTGTTCATGACCGTTTTTGTCGAGAATCACTTGCGGTATTGAGAGCAGAAATGGATTGATTCACTGAGGTTGCTTCACTTACACACACCCAGTTTCAACATATTGATCTACATTAGCCTAAGCCATTGTAAGTTTAAGTGCTGTCACAAACACGGCTGAAACGGTGTCCTTCCAAGCAAGCGAGAACAGCACGTAGGCTGCTACATCAGCGACTGGGCTGTGTCTTGAAGAGTCCCAAGATAAGGAAAAGTGTGAGTCTCCACTATGCCAAGTCCAAGAATGTAGGGAAACTTTTTGATTTGCATTTAAAACTTTGCTGGCAATATCTATTTATAAATAGATTAAGTTTTTTGAGTTAAGATAAAGGAAGGAGGGTAAGGATTTGCTGAAAGGAGTTTTTAAATGGAAATACAAGTGGGGAGGTGCGGGGAAGTCAAAGAACTAAGGAAAGATAAGAAGGTTAAATGAAAGTATAAATTTTTAAATTTTTCTGTTTTTTCTTTTTTATGGTTATTGTTATCTTTTGTTTTCTTTTTGTCATTGTTATTGTTGTTTTTTGTCTTTGGAATTTTTGTATTTTTGTATGTTTTGGAATTTTTGTATTTTTTTTGTATTTTTTTTTTTGTAAAACCAATAAATATTATATTAAAAAATAAATAAATAAAACTTTGCTGGCAAACAGTGGCTCCCCAACTCCTGCCGCTCCCCTGCCCACAGAACATTTGAGAATTGCTTGGGGTCTTGGGAGAGCTCATAGTGAGCTTCCTACCTGTGATAGCAATTGTGATGCACTGTGCTGGATGCCGTACAGGTTTTTAATTGTAGTTTCCCTGGAATTCAAAATTGTAATGCACTAAAATACAGTACAAGAAATAAAAGGCAAAAAAGAGAGTTAAAAATCAATGTGAATATTTGATGCAGGCAAACCACAGGCCACCTGAATGGAAACCCACAGTGGAAAATTAATCATTTCTTTAGGAAAGTCTATACAATCATATTGAATAACAGAAGAACAGTTAGATCTTTTGTATTTGCTCTACGAAGATCAGGTGCCAAGCATTCCACCAGAGGGGTTATCATGCTTCGCCAGTATGTTTGCCTCCTTAAATACTCGATTGGCTATAATTTGATATTATACTGCAAGTATTGCAAATTCCTTCAGTAGCCAAGCGTCACCAACTTAGCAGTGTAGACCGTGTATACAAGGTCTTATCTTACTACATTAGGGATTATATAGCTATATCTGAAGTTTCATGCGTATCAGGTAATGTCTTGACACTCCTCCACGAAAATAGCTGTTTACTTGGCCGTTTTCCTATGTCATGAAGGCTGAAATTTCAATTCAGTGGAGCAGCGTCAAGATATTAACTGATATGCATGAAATTTCAGATACAACTATATAATGGACTGATTGACATTTTCTTCAGCCCCAGACTTTAAACACAGCCAGTTTCAGGTGAGTGAATGTTGGGATGGTGGTACATGAACATTATGAGATTCACATGGTGTTCTTTAGCTGTGATGCAGGGAAACTGAGCTTCATGGTGGAACTGAATCGGTTAGCAAGTCAGCAAATGGAATGCTAATTCAAGATGTCACCATTGCCCCTGTTCTCAATCCACCCACTCTGTCCCTACCATCACATCAAACCAAGTATATCACAGCCAGTCTCCTTTGTTGCCAGAAAACCAACTGTAAGGCTGTTCTCGCTGGCTTGGAGGAAATAAAAAGCAGTATTGAGAAGGGGCAGGAAATGGCTGATGGCTTGAGTCATTTTGAAGCTGGAAGAACCCACAGAGAACCTTTTTTTTATTCTGTGTCCAAACATATTCATTCTGACCCAAAACATCTGTCTTAGCATCAGGGATAAAGGGGAGGATCGGTCCCCAAACAAACTTTTCTGTTATCAGGATGCTCTTGGAATCACACCATTCTTTAGAGGGACTCAAAACCTCTTCCATCAGTTTGGGGGTACCAAAACGCAATACCCTAAAAAAAAGGCAATATAAACTTTACACTACTTCATATCAAAAGGTGGGACTTCTGGTGAAAAGGCGACGAGGGTCCTGTCACTTTTAGTTTAATATGTGGTAGTCACCTTCCAAGACACTTGCAGGCATGGTCTGGTTACACCCAATAACATTCTTATAGTACTGAATATTTATTTATGGATATTTGATTTATAAATTGATGCCTAAAAACAATGGTGGAATTGCAGCTTTTAAAAAGAAACTTAAGGCTAACTGATGCCATTTTATAAATACTTGCTGACCAAAAGTTCCAACAATAAAGTTTTCCAGAAATTATTACACAGAAGCACAAATATGAACAAAGCTTTTATTTTAACCACGAACATCAACAATTGGCATAAAATGCATAAAAATACAGTATTTTTGTGCTGTAATATAATTACAAAAGACATCTTCTTGAATGTTAATTTTCCACAGCCCAATCCTCATTAGTGGTTGTCTTAACAAATAGGAAACAAAATGAGGTTGTGTTTTTTTAAAAAAATCAATTAAAACCGTTTCTTTAGCTCTCCTCATTTTAATCAATATGAGACACAACCAAAATATGGCTAATCCCTCTTATATCACTATCCTGAAATCCACTTTAATAGTCTATGTAATAAATTATGCTTCTTGCTGCAGAATTTACTACATTTAAGTCACAGACAAAGCTGTGCCTGCAGTACAGAAGTTAAAATTCAACAGAGAGCTGAAGAAACAGTTTTCCAGATGCTTCCTTATCTAGATGATTTGCAATGTTTTTTAGTAGCTGTTGCATAAACAGAATTCATATTGCCTTTTTGGCAGAGTGTTCCCCCACCTCTCGCATATGACAATCTTGCTCTACCAATGAAAAAGTGAATTCCTGCCTGAAGTGGAGCTGTGCATCATCATCAGAATCTCACTAAAAGCAGAAATCAAAATACGTGGCAGTTTTTTAAAAAATGGCAAAAATACTGTTGTAGTTTATTTAATATTTGTCAAACTATTAGTTTTACTTTTACATAAATTAACTATTCTAAGATGTATAAAAGAGCCACAAAAATTGAAATGAGTTTATTTCCATTTATTTTACATTGCTCTAGTGGTTACATTTTGTTTCTCAGGGAATGTTATTTCCTATCAATTTAGACTTTCTTTCTACAAGGTAGGCAAAATATGTTCTATTACTAAATTAAGGCCAAAGCATAAAAAGATTTTTCTAAACCCTGAAAACTTTTTCCTTGTTAATATTTCATATGTGCAAAATTTGTTAAGTTTTGTCTACTTTGGTGATAAACCATTTCAACAGCTGGTAGCAAAAATACTGCTTACTAAAATTAGTTTCATTGGCCTGATTTTAGCAACTACTTTAAAAAGAAGGCTGAAGATTGTGGATTGTGCACATTTGCCATCTAAAACATGAAATTCAAAGTTATTCAGAATAATTTCCATGTAGAACAAAAACTTAAAATATATTACCTAGCTCTAAAATGACCTAAAACACTGGGGATTTTTCATCGGTTTTCATAAAAACAGCCACTTGCACATAAATGAGATAGTGGAAACTATCCAATTCCTTCACAAAAAATATACATATTCATAAAAGGTGCAATATGAGATGCATGCTGGGGGAATGGGGTTAGCAATATAATGTGGCGACTGTGTATGGAATGCTGCGCCTTCCTAGCTATTTCGGGTTGAAAGATGCACTGACTATACTAGGAAAGATCATCTGCCTCTGCAATTTCACTGATTTTGAAACCTGGCATACTTTTCCACAGCCATTTTTGCTCACTTGCTTTGGATCAGTATTTATTTAAAAATGTTTGAACACATAAACATTTGCATAGCAAATTTTAAAGAACTGACCCAAGTCTACGACTGAGAATATTTTAAAAATGTCCTCATTGTAAAGGTCTAGTATTCCCTGCAGTATACTGTACTCCTGGCACCCTAGCGCTTCCAATTCTGAACATATTTATTTAGAAGCCGTTATCATTTACATCAATGGAATGTATTTCCAAATAAATATAACTGGACTCACCATTTAAGGCTGATCCAATGAAGTAGCCCTATATGCAGCTACACGGTTTAAAATATGAAAAAGGGATAGAGCCTATGTAGGCACAAAGCTTTGGTTGCTACAACTGACAAAGGAACTTCCTGAGCATAGAATTCTCTGGAACGCAGCCTATGTCTAATGGTGCAATCCATTAAAATGAATGTCAAAAGTCCTGTTGGTTTTAATGGACTCTGAATTGAGAGCTCTCTTTTACTTAGTTGCCAGTTTAAAAAATACATATACTGTCAGAAAATGCGTTGCACTGAAGAGTCATTCCCGGGTAACTTCTAATACTTTGTATATATTGTTGTTGAACACCGTTCTGAAGTATGGCCTGGAATCCATGCTCATGAGGGTACATAAGGGAACTTTTCCAGCATTGGCAGTATCTTCTATATCCCAGATTTCTGGCATGCTGCAGCCGGGCCTAAAAAGTATTTAAATATTGTCAGCAAACAGGACACACATCATTTGAGTGAATGGCGGAAGAACAACACTGATCAAGTGTAATTATTTTACTGACAACAAAGCTGATACTTTCCCCCATGACACTTTTTGACTTACTAAATCACTTTAATCCTAAAACCCCACTATCCCTCCTCTAAAGCCTCTCCTAAGGGTTGGGGTCCCTCCTGAACAATGTGGGATGCAACTAGGAAACTTTCATTCCGTGAACTAGTCAATTTAGGATCTAGGCCAAAATTAGACACCATTTTACACAGCTTAGGCAGGGTCCCGACCCTCAGGAGAGGCTTTATCAAGTGTGCAGATTCCTGCTGGGGAGAGGGGGTGATGGGAAACTTTTCATCCACAACCTTTCTTAGGATCCATACTACAGTGGTACCTTGGGTTAAGAATTTAATTCATTCCGGAGGTCCATACTTAACCTGAAACTGTTCTTAACCCGAGGTACCACTTTAGCTAATGGGGCCTCCTACTGCCACCGCACGATTTCTGTTCTCATCCTGAAGCAAAGTTCTTAACCCAAGGTACTATTTCTGGGTTAGCGGAGTCTGTAACCTGAAGCGTCTGTAACCCGAGGTACCACTGTATTAAAATCCACACCAACAGGATGGGTTCCTAGAATGTTGAAGGAGACATGACACACTTTTTAATTTGGAAATCCGCCATGATGGAATAAGACTGAGCTGCAGAGTTATAAATAATCATAGGGAGAGGTGAGCTCTTAATATGTCATTATCTGTATTTTGAGTCTGATTTGGTAAATCTCCCCTGGAAAGGCTAATGTTTGATGCAACCAGTCTGGGAAAATTAATGAGCAAACGCCTAGATTTGATTTCATCGGAACTGAGAGAAGATGACGTCTGCCGGCAGCGAAATGACTTTTGGATTGATTTGGCACAAACACCAGCATGTAAGACATACTGCAACAACAGCGGAGAGTCATACACATAAAATCCATACAGAAACACATCATTGCTTACTTCAACTCGCTTGTGGAAACAACTCAGAGGCCATGAAAGAAGGAAGGTTAACAACAGGAAGATTTAAAGGAACTATTGGAAAGACTATCCAAGGCAGCAGACATATGAGATGATCAGAGCCCCAACCTAACTTGAAGCATGGGAAGTCCCAACAAAATAATTATAATTCAGGCAGAATATTTGGACTATTTGATATGTATTTGGATAATTTGGAACATTTAATGTGATTTGACTGGATTGTTAAAATAGGAAACTTAATAAAAATTATTTAAACAAACAAAAAATAAATAAATCCACACCAACATTAAAACAATGCAGTGGAATCTAGAGCAAAATACTATGAAAATTGGCATCCTTGCCAAGAAACTTTACAATGACAGTGCTGCTCAAGTAGCTTCATTCAGAATCTGTCTGCAGTCACAATATAAAATGACTCGAGGGATGAGGAGGAGGATTTAAAGCACACACAGCTCTATCCAAGACAGGGGTAGCCAACGTAGTGCCCTCTATGTGTTTTTGGCTCACATCCCCATTAGCTCCAGTCAGCAAAAGTCAGGGAAGACAGGAGCTGTATTCCCAACAAAACCAGGAGGAGGGGGCAGGCATGACCACATTGGCTGTCCCTGATGTAAAAACCCATCTAATTTCAATGACCAATCCTTACTAAGGGTCCTCAAAAACTCAGGTTCCAAAGTTCCACAATGATGCACATACCAACTTAAGAAAATCCTTAGAGATCCAAGTAGATCTTATTAATATTCAGAACATAAGAAGCAACAAAAAGCATAATATCATATTGCATCTGACACAGCGGCTACAAAAGCAAAATTCTAATTTTAAGGATTGCTTTGAAGATCACTTTCAGCCATTAGCACCAACTGCCCAAATTCCAAAAACTAAAGGTGGACACCACCAATAAGAGTTGACCAATGTCTCAGGGTTTATAGAAGGTGAGTGGCCAAATTCCCAAACCACCTCAGCATGACAAGACGTCACAGAAAAGTCCCAAAGTTCTGCACCTGCACTTTCTCCTAGCCAACCGGTGCAAAGAAAGCACTTGAACCCCTTGATCACTGGTAGGAAATGATCAAGGTAAACTTACATACTGATTACTTACTTAGATCTCCTCAGGCACCAAGAATCTTCTAAAATGTAGTAATTTACTCCCAACTTCAGCAATTCCCTTTTAACTTCTTTTGCTGGTTTTCGGCTATACATGGAATAAACTGTTTTCGTTCTTGCCCTAGGAGGAAGAGAAAGCTACAAATATACCAAGTAACCAAGAAAAAAATTATAACTTGAGCAAACAATACACAGCTCATCACTGAAGTAAAGTGGAAAAGAATGTTTGCGGTATTGTGGAGAGAGCTAATTTACTCTGGTGTATTTTTTAAATATAGTTAATAACATACTTCATGAGATGTCTGACATATATATTTGTGGTAAAATACACAGGAGGATAAACAAAACTAGTAAGATAAGGACTCAAGGAAATGGAAAAAGCACATACTGGTAGCTAATACAGTGGTGCCCCGCAAGACGAATGCCTCGCAAGACGGAAAACCCGCTAGATGAAAGGGTTTTCCGTTTTGGAGGTGCTTCGCAAAACAAATTTCCTATGGGCTTGCTTCGCAAGACGAAAATGTCTTGCGAGTTCCTGCAGGGTTTTTTTCCTTTCCCCCTTTTTCCCAAGCCGCTAAGCCGCTTATCAGCTGAGCCGCTAAGCCGCTTAACAGCTGATCGCTAAGCCGCTTATCAGCTGATCCGCTAAGCCGCTTAACAGCTGATCCGTTAAGCCACTAAGCCGCTAATCAGCTGATCCGCTAAGCCGCTAATCAGCTGATCCGCTAAGCCCGCTAAGCCGCTAATAGCGCTAATCCGCTAAACCGCTAATGGGCTTGCTTCGCAAGACGAAAAAACTGCAAGACGAAGAGACTCGCGAAACGGATTCTTTTCGTCTTGCGAGGCCCCACTGTACCTGATTTAGTTAGCATTTGCCAGCAAATCAGAAACAAATATGAAATAATTTCTGGAGCACAAATCCTAACCCCAAATGGAAGGAAGGTGGTTACTTCCTGAAGTGTCAGAACAGAAAGTGAAAAGCCTCACTTACCATGAGTTTTATTTTTAGTCAAGAGGCAAGGGACAGGGAACAGCAAAGGGTTAACTCCTCCTGTGGCAGAAGGCAGTGCCAAGCAAAAACCTGGTGCTGGTTCCCAGGAAGAAGAGCTCTCTCAGGTTCAGAACTCGACTTTAGTAGGAAAAAACCCAATACCACAGCTCCAACCCTGGGTGCAAAACGGGCAGACTTTTGGCTCAACAACAATGACTAAGAAAACACACATAGGCCTAACATTGTATGTCAATGTGTTTGCTTCTAGGGATGCATTCTTCAACAGGAGGGTTTTCCAGCTGGTATTTTAAGTAGGTGTTTGTCCCACCTTGGAATATAGGTAAATGTTTTGATGTTGCCCTTCTGATTGCTAACTGAGGTTGGGAAGATGGACTTTCCCTGAACTTCCATTATATTAAGCAGGCAAGAGAGCATGGATATTCACTCAGTTATTTAAATATTCTGTGACAGAGATGCATTTTCCATGTTTCAGTCAAATGAGATCCTGAGTGGGGAGAGGCATTACTTTTTGAGTTGGTGTTCTGCCAAAGGGACTAAGACCAAACAGGAAGCACCCTGGGCAGATCTGTGTGAAGCTCAGGCTGAAGAATCATATGAGCAGGCTGGAATGGTGTTGCTTTAACACAGACTAAGACTTACATAGAGCTGCAGTTCTATGTCAGTGTCTAGTTCCACCTCTTATGAAGAAAAGCTAAAGGGGCTTTGTCTGTTTCCACAACTGTTGATTCTAATGGAGCAGGGAAAGTACCATGGGTACTGAGCCATGGCCACCTCAGCGCTGCAGACCCGAGGTTACTATTGTTCTTGGTGCATCTCTAAAGGGAGTCCCTCTTTGCAGATTGGAGTCCTTGGTCTACCATCACACGGCTTGACAAAGCTACTGGAGAACTCTGAAAGGAGGAAAGTGACCACGGCAACTGGTGGGAGCAGTGATTGCCCCAAAGTGTCATTTGGGCTGCTGAAATACATAGGGCAAGAACCTTTGCCATGGATGTGACGTTGGCTTTGCTGGACAACATCAAAGTCCTGGTCACCACCTTGATCTTTGTGATGCGCTCTGGGGAAAGCGATTATCAGCCCCTCTGTACATTTGGCTTCTTGAGGTGAACAGAACTAGACCTTCCCTCACTATGCTTCCCTCTCCCACCTGTTTAGAAGCATTAGGTAAAGTTAAAGGGACCCCTGACCATTAGGTCCAGTCGTGACCGACTCTGGAGTTGCGGCGCTCATCTCGCTCTATAGGCCAAGGGAGCCGGCATACAGCTTCCGGGTCATGTGGCCAGCATGACTAAGCCGCTTCTGGCAAACCAGAGCAGCGCACAGAAACACTGTTTACCTTTCCTCCGGAGCAGTACCTATTTATCTACTTGCACTTCGTGCTTTCGAACTGCTAGGTTGGCTGGAGCAGGGACCAAGCAACGGGAGCTCACCCCGTAGCGGGGATTTGAACCGCCGACCTTCTGATTGGCAAGTTCTAGGCTCTGTGGTTTAACCCACAGCGCCACCCGCGTCCCTCCTAGAAGCATTAGGGAGAACAAAAAAGGCTGAAGAAAAAGTAGGGGTGGTGAAGTTCTATTGCCAAGTAGGATCTCTTTAATAGCAAGGAGATACTGCTTTGAAATCAAAGGCAGGACCACAAAACTGAAAGGACTCTCCTCCTTGGGAGGAATGCGAATATTTTGCAGTCTTTTGGCAGGCCTTGTTTTCTTTTAGAGGAGGAGTTTGCCCTTTGCTGCTGCCTGCTCTCCAGCTTGTTGATACAATAGCAACTCACACTCTTTATTTTAAGCCAGAAGAAACCACAGGATTAGTGAGCTTGCATGCCTGAAGGAAACAAATTTATCGCCGACTTACTCATCTCTCTCTACAGCAAAGCTTCTGTCTAAAGCCAATAACTATATTTTATTCATCCTATTTTAATCAATTAAAAAGCAATACAACATAATGCTATATTAAATCAATTAACATGTTTATTTGAAACTACCCAGCTAATTTCAAACTCATCCAACCCTGTATTTTAATCTTTCCTCCCAAACAATACAAAATAAGATTTGCTCAGTCCACCACTACCTTTGATCCATCTCTATAGATCATACTCCAGTCACCAACTTCCCATTTAAAGCACCCAGTGACAACCAGTTGTTTTTTTAATCCAAGAGTATGATAATTTGTGAACAATATATTCAAAGCACACAGGGGGCCAGAGACCTCTATATGGTATAATAAACCAAACGACCTGGAAGAACATAAGCCAGACCCATTTCATTGTTTGCTTCAGCAAAAAAGGTACATGCTGCACCTGTAAAACCTCACAGAATCATAAAAAAGAGATAAGATTACACTAATCAAAAGTGGAAACAGCATTTTAGATGCAATCTGCAAAAGTCCAAGTATCCCAGCACACAAAGCTCCAGCTCATATAATTCAGGGAGCAAAAGGCACAGCTTATTCCCAATTTTTAGAAGTCTTGTTACATCAATTTCCTTGCTGAGTAAATCAGAATATAGCTAGCCTTAAAATTTGAAGTTTAAATCTTACCGTAAACCTGCATCTTCATAATGAGGATGGTTCACAATAGGCCGAAGAGCAGACAATTTTACACTTGCCATTGTAGGCATTGGACCCGCAAAAACAGCATCTGAAATATATAAAAGAAAATAAAAAATCAAACAATTGGGCAAAGTATTGTAAAAATGTAGAATAAAGTAAAGATGACTAAACTTTCTAAAAATCAGAGCTCAAAATGTACATTCATATTAATACATTCAGGCATGACATCATTCTTAGTGGCAAAACTAAAACTACATCAGATTTCATCCAATACTCTAATTGTTCTTAGATTGTTCTTGATATTTTAAAGTTATAATACTTCAAATTCTCTACTTAATACAAGTCTTAATGTACTATAAAACAATACAATTACAGAAACCTTAAGACTGGTCCTTTCATTCTTATGTCACTTACTATAAAACACAACACTGGGGGAAACAGCATAATAATCCTGTTCTTCAACACAGGACACAAAATTGCTGCTTGCCTTATGATAGATGCTGTAGCAGATACTGAAAAAAAAAGCACAAAAGCACAAAAAAAGCAGGGGGTCAAGTGTTTGTTTTACCTGGTTTGGTCTTTTCTTTTATCCATAACAGTAGCTCTTCCTGGGGCAAGTTGCTAAATTCTCCCACAATGCTCCATTCTCTTTGAAGGTTTGCTACTCCTTCAAATGCCATCATTGCTAAAATCGCAAGAACAAGTGTTCCAGGCTGGATTTTGCTAAACAGCCATCCAAACAGCTGATAAGAAGAAATTAAAAGCCATTTAACTTTACATACAACTTAAGTTTCTAAATTTCCATTTTTTCTTAACACCAGCTTAACAAATTACACAGAAAAACATGACAACTCAGTTCACGATACATTTTCCACTGAAATTAACAATAACCATAAACTCTAATATTGATATTAAAAGTATCCACTGTAGCACAGTGTGTTTATCTCCTTGCTTGTTAATGCAATCAAAATTAAAATAACTAGGCTGTGTCATTTTATTGACTAAGGCATGGATGCTCTGTATGTATATCAGTACTGACCACTGGAACAAATCTATGTTGAGAGATAACATTAGACAAAGGTATTGTCACTAACACGAGTTTCCATTGATTTCTTATCCTTTATATTGTACATATGCAGTATGTTTTCTGTCAGCTCACAATATTTTGATAGCACGTTTTTTCTGTATTGTGTATTTAATAATAACTATATATTTTTGTAATTCTATAATCAAGTAATTCAAAATATTAAACATTTGGCATACTGAAATGCTATATCAGCCCCTCTGTAAAACATATTAAGTAAATTACTACATCAGCCGGACAAATAAAACAGTAGCTTACTTGCTTTGAACATATCAAGGATGCCATGATGCACATATGAGGTGTCAGAAACAGCTTTAGTCTCATAAATAAAATAGCAAGAACAGTAAAAAATATAAGCTGCAGTGCATGGTATACTATCTGAAAACAAACAAACAAACACAAAGGCATAAGAAAATAATGCTTATTAAAAGAGCTGTCAAAACTATGAACATAAACCTATTAACTATAAGAAAGAAAGTTTACCTTTTTATATAGATGCTCCTTGGAGCACTGCATTATTTTTACATTTAAACCCATTGGGGGGCAGGGGAGAGAAAGACTATGAATGAGAGACAAAACATTTTAGAAAGATGAATACCCCGTGGGAATAGAAGAGACTAGTTTGAAGCTCAATTTTAATGGCTGCGTTTTTCTGTACATTTATTAAAATAACTGAATTCCATTTCATTCTGGTTTTATCCCACACCACCACTCTAATCCAACAATGATTTGGATGCAAATAACCCATACTGATGAGTTTCAGAGAAGATAACTCTGATGTGTAAATGGAACTTCCAGAAGTATAAGGAGTTACTCATTCACTTTAATGAAGAATATGCCCCCTTTGCTGCCTGGACCTGTCCTCCTACACTGAAAGGAATTGCAAGATATTATGCATTTCTTCTGTGTGCACACAGCCCATGTGATTAAAGGTAAACTGTGGATATGCTTTGAGTAATCATTGCAATAGGGGTGTTGTGAACATTCAAGCAATACTGGGGCAAAGTATTGGGGCACAGCCATGTTCCCAGGCCCATTCTCATCCTGATATTCTTAAATCACCACCACCACATTCACTTGCTCCATAAATTCCCCACAAAGTACAGGAAGGTGTTAGATGCCTCTGCAGAGCATCTTTTCCCTCTGGGGACTGTGACTTCGTCCCAGAATCCCCAACAGAAACCGATAGCACATCATTTCCCCCCAAAAGCAGGCCTTGGAGGGTTTCTTCCCTTCAGAATTGACACCTGCGGTGTTATGTTTTCACTGAAGGTTTTAAGATTGGCAATCCCAATCCTGGGCAGGAAAAAAATAAGCTGCAGGGAGATTTAAGATGTTGGACGCTCTCTCTTTGCCCTTGCCCCAAAGTAAATTTCTGAGCTCTGAGGCAGGAATAGGAGGCAAAGTTAAAACCTGTCATTTGATACTTAGCACTTCACACCTATGTAAAAGAACAGTTTGATGTAAATCCACATCAAACAAGCAGTTTTTGTCCACGTCAAACAACTCAGCAAGGAAACTGGCCTATGTTTGCAATTTCAATTCTAAGAACCCTGGTGTGCACCACCAATTTAAACTTCTGCAATCATTTCCCACTATCTCCACTGTTTTTCTTAAATCAGCACTTCCATTTCCCACAGAAGGTAACTTTTCTAAACTTATCGAGGGAGAGCTCAATAAGCAGAGTTGTAACATAATTCATGCAGGATGAGATCCTTACCTCCCCATGATTGAAATTATCCTCCTGTCTGAACAAAGAACAGTAAGACTGTTATTTGTTTATTGCATAGAATCAATATGCCTTATGCTACAAATAGTTATTTATAGAACACATCCTCTGTTTACAATCAAACTAAATTAAAAATATTGCAGTGTTTTTAATTTCTAAGTCCTTTAAGTTATTACAAAGTTACGATAAAACTGTTACTACTAAATTTATTTTGTAAACTTATATTTTTATCAATCTGGGGGCTACTCATATGTACAGATGCTCTGTTGCATTTGTTGAACTGCAGTAAAAGTCTTTCATTAATTTCCAATTTTCAGTAGGATCACTGCTTTAAAAAATGTAATTACAGGGCATGGAAGACTACAGGCCAAGACCTCTATACACACACTAATTGCAACCAGCTAGATTACTGGCATGTTCACAAGGCATAAGAAACATTTACTTGCTGTACATATTCATTCCACAAAGTGATGGGAAAACTAACTGGAGACTAGAAGTAAACAATAGGAGCAAAGCCTGGCTGCACAATTACATATAGTCCTTTAGGTAATAATTCATTCAATGGATTTGCACTCTAATTTCAAAATTTATTTACCTTTCAGATAATTCCTTGCGACACACAACATGTTGAAATGTCTGTGAACAGACAAGAACATATTTTAAATAGCCTTTTCTCTAAAGCAGATTTAGTCATATGCCAAAATTACAATTTCCCAAAGGTTAACAGACATAATTTTCCAATTACATACTTTGGAATAATTGCTCTTTTTAATATCAATTCCTTCTTCAGGATTATGTAGACTAGATTTTCATTTTTGGTAATCAACATGCATGTCTTTAAAGATGCCTGAAGAAATAAGTCTGGTATATAACGGAACATGTAGCTGAAAAGCCCAGATCCAAGTTCATATACTTTGATTTGGCTTTTTGGTCACATGTTCTGCTCTTTTTGTAAAGGTAAAGGTAAAGGGACTCCTGACCATTAGGTCCAGTCACGGAAAAGCCTTCTACCTTCCCGCCGGAGCGGTACCTATTTGTATGTATGTGCAAATACATGCATGCTAGACATACTCAAATTTAAGTATTAATTGCCCCCTTTTAGCATACTATACACACTAAATGTAAACCAGATGAAAAACAGCAAAGACCTTACCTTCATAACAATTACTGAAAAAACGACAAGAACTACCGGAAGTAGAAGTGTCTTCATGTACTTTACTGGAGTCTGAAACACAGTTTCAATGGGTGGTAAATTTTATGCACAGTAACTTTTCTTACAAAACCATTTTCTTTTAAGACATTCTTACTCTAGATTTTCACAATGAACCTCTCCCCAAGTTATTTTATCCAAGAAAAATTGTCAAAACTATTGTGCAGTTAATCTGAATAATGTTTTTCAGTGATTCCATTTGTTCCCCGAAGCTTTCAACCTTCACTGTTGATGAACATAAATTATGGCCTGTAATAAAGTCAAGACACTGACACTTTATCCAGATATTTTGTTCTACCAACTGCTAACTCAGTTTCATTAAGCAATAGAAGAATCCTGAATTGTTATATTTGTTAAAAAAAATAGCTTTCCAATCAAACATTATTTTTCTGATTAAGGAAGAAAAAACTGCATAAACATTAAGGTGTTCCATACTTCATCCACTGATTTTTAATTACCTGTTTTTCCATGAAATCGAACTCCACAGCACATGTGTACATTGAAGTATGAAAATCCCTATAACCAGTAAATTTTGCCTTCAGCAGGTTGCTTATATGAGCCTGTTAAGAAATTACAGTGAAAATGTTTGTTAAATGAATTATTTCAGAGATTTAAAAAAAAATAGAGTGGAAAGTACAAAACGTTGGATTATGCTACATTAAAATTGGTTCAATACAAATAAAAGATCATGGAAATGTCTGAGAAAAAGAACAGCAGTTAATTTGCCATGTTAAGAATAAACAACTTGTAGACCATATAGTAGACACTAGGCGAGGGGCTGTCAACTTTTTGGGTGGGTGAGCACATTTGAAATTTTAAAGAAGTGCCCCTGGGCACCAATCACTAACTGGCTGCTATTGGGCATGGTGTAACACGAACTGACTGCCACATCTAAAAGGGCAGAGAGATGGGATAGTAAAAGTGTGTGGACATGCCTCCATACGTAATGGGAAATGCACCTATATTATCCACTGCTGTGTTTGCTCAGAGATAAATATTCACAGCTCTCCTCTGTTCAGAACAGGACTGTGGGTGTCCAATCCCAGCATCCAATGAAAAGTGGGCATGTTGAAGGGTGCGTGTTCAGTGTAGGAGAAACCAAGGCAGTGCAAACAGAAACTGTGGAGGACAGCAAGCAGCCTCTCTCACACATTGTGGGATTCTGAGGAACTACTTACCAAGACTTTTTGCGAGTGTCATAGGAGGTACACGTGGGCACAATGTTATCAATGAGCACCACGTTGGCAACCCCTGCACTAAGCCACAGATAACTGACATGTTGCAGTTTTATTAGATGAAATTTGCGATGCATCCAGTGGAAGATTATATGTGTTTAATTCTTAAGGTGCATCAAGAAGATGATTGTAATTTTTACACTCTATAAAGTTCAGAATTCAAAATTTGTGCTCAGAAATGTATGCTCTATGAAAGAGAGAATTTGGGGTGGTGTTTGTTTAATAATAATAATAATAATAATAATTATAAATTATTTATATCCCGCCCTTCCCAGCCAAAGCCAGGCTCAGAGCAGCTAACAACAGTAAAATAATCAATTCATTATAAAATCAGTTCAAATCGAATTAACGGCAACCATTGGGCTAGAGTTCTGTGAGGATTACCAAAGGAGGGGGTCAGGCTGTGCCTTGGCCAAAGGTCTGGTTCTGAGTGCTTTACCATCCTGACAGATTTTATTTGATTAAAAGAATCAAACAGCTACACTACTTGAAAGTTTTGCTGAGTGTTCAGCAATGAATGTTTCTTTTCAATAGTTTGTAACTCTTAATTGTCAATAAATTTTCAGAGTCCCCTATAGGGAGAGACTGATTTTTAAACCACCATGAGGACTGTAGCTCTGTGAAGGGAATAGGGTCTCCAAACAATTATCAGCACCCTTAAGAAACTACATATCCCAGTATTCTTGGGGAGGGGGTTAAAGTGGTGTGCTACTGCTTTAAACGTATAGTGTAGATGGGACCTATATGATGAAGAAGACATACAAGAAGAATTCTGACAGTGAACAAATGAAACAAGGAAGTTTTAAACTTACATCATCAGCTGTTCCAAATATTAGGCACATCAAGAACTTCAAGGTAATTGTCCCCAAAAAGCAAGAAAATCCTTCAATGGCCTGTAAAATGAAAGGCATGGTTCAACTGAAGAGCAGAAGCAATACTCAGCATTTAATACAAGAGGCACTTTAATTAAAATACATATTATTATGCAACTGTTTCTCTTATTCTTATCTACAATTTTTATTATGTTGTGTGAGAGCTGAAATGGTAGTTTTTAAATTAAACCAATTCCTATTGGTGAAAGTGAAGTCAAGATTTTTATGCTACTTTCATGCAAAATTTAATATTCACTCCCTCTGATGCTGAATTTGGATGGGCTATGCTGATGGCTTTGTGGCCAAAACAGAGATACCCATGCACGCATGGAAAGATTAAGCATATTGGAGTATACAAAACACTTTGGCAAAAAACACCTGCAAAAGAGGATCAATCTTTCCCCCTAAACAAGTAAACTAGCTGTTGTACATGCAACCTCTCAAGAATACAGGAGAACAGCAAGAAATAAGTGCATATAGCCCACCAAGATGCCAGAGACGGTTACTTGAGGTTTAGAGGAGAGTGAAGTCAGGAGGAAACCAATGCCCACAAAGGGCTGTCCAACTTGTCCCTCAGAATGCCAGTCACCTGCACTGTACAACTACAGAGCTGTGATGCCAGCATCACACAGGTGACAGGTTTAGAACCGAGGAGAGTTTACAGGCAATACTAGACCGTGCAGCGTCTAGAGCATGGGAGGCTATAATGTCCTCTGACCTTCTCCTATTCATTTACTACTTTGGCTTCCCACCTACAGAGGTTGTTCACAATATGTGATGGATTCAAGGATTCAAGGCAAAAGTCACACACAAACACACCCCACCCCAGCCGACGTGTAATGCCAACAGGGAAGTGAATGGCTGCATGAAGCAATCTCAGAGCGCAGCATTTCATTCAGGCCTTACTTGTTAATAATAAAGATGAGGTTATAGAAAACAAAATGATCTACAATGCATCTATTTCATGTAGTGTTCTCTCTCAAGAAGCCCTTAGCAAATCAAACAGGAGCTGACAACATTCGCAAAGTTCAGGTATTCAACTTACCAAAAAGTTGCTTAAAAGGGACAACAGTCTCCCAATAAATTATTCTCCTTAATACAGTGGTACCTCGGGTTAAGTACTTAATTCGTTCCAGAGGTCCGTACTTAACCTGAAACTGTTCTTAACCTGAAGCACCACTTTAGCTAATGGGGCCTCCTGCTGCTGCTGCGCCGCCGGAGCACGATTTCTGTTCTCATCCTGAAGCAAAGTTCTTAACCTGAAGCACTATTTCTGAGTTAGCGGAGTCTGTAACCTGAAGCGTATGTAACCCGAGGTACCACTGTAAATACAAAACGCATTCAGCCCCCAAACCAGCTATCAATCACTCAGCTGCTGGCCAAGGATCCCCAAGGCCTTGGGATAGCCTTCCATCAGCCCAGCCCAGCCCCTTCTCTGCTAGGCCCAGGTGCTTTTCAGTAACATGTGGCAATGCTGGCTTTGAATGGAAACTATCACCTACAAATCATCCTACTGACCAACAGAGCTGGTAATATATTTATAACACAAAATGTCAATCCTTACCCATACGCTGATACCTCTTCTACTACACATTTTCAGGATGTATTTAGGACCCAGTTCAAGAATACCCTGAAAATAATTAAATTAGTTCATTAAACAGCAATATTTATATAACACTCCTCTCAAATGGAGTCCAGAAGGATTAAACAATAAATAAGTCAAAATGAAGTTAGAAAATGCTCAAAACCAGCATTGTAAAAGTGTTAATACCAGACACTGAAATTATTGGTTTTATTGCATTACACTTCCATAGAACACTGAAACCCATTGTTACTGCTTTTTAAACATATACTGTGCTGTCTGTTATGCAAGATTCTACTGTACAATGGCACAAACTATTTGCACATCACATAATCGGACTTAGGCAGACCCACGGACGTCCAGTTTTGCAATATGTTAACCCAATAACCATAAGACAGAATGGAAACAAGTAATGAGCTAAGCATACGTACACTTCTCCAAGAACATACATAACCAATCATCCAAAAAGACAAACCAGGAATGTCAAAGGCCCACCCTACAGTGTCATTCTGTTATCTTTTTGAAGCTGTACTACATGCATACTTCTTTTGATTTAGTTCACTATTTTTGGCTTTCATAAATAATGAAAAGTTATATAATCACACTAATTATCTTATCACCAAATAAAGGGAATGTTACTTCTTTCTGCAAACCTATGGTACTCAGAAGTTGCCTGTATTCAGATTAAGTTGCTTTCAGAGCATGAGACTTGCCTCTTGTTTATTAAGCTGATCCAGAAGGTGGAATTCTGATGCATATTATAGTGCTCTTGAAAACCTGAGTTCTTCCCCATTCACTGTAATGTCAAGGCACACAAATCCATTGTGACAACAGCATTTGTTCCCAAACCGCAGTGAGTAGGAACACTCACAAGGGGCTCTATGTATTCACTGCAAAATGATTCATCCTTTTGGATAAAGCTTATTTCTGAAATGGTAAAATCTCCTGTCTCCAAGTAAATAACCAGTATCTCCACCCCACCCCACGTGCCAGCCTATATGAAGCGTCTTGTAAATTATTGCAGTAACTCAGTATAGTACGAAAAAGGATTCTTGAGTATTCCTTAACTAACTTACCCAACTAATTACCAAAAAGGCAGCATAATATGATGTCAGCAACATAGAGTTTCCAAACATAAGGACAAAACATACTCCAAGTGATGCCTAAAGGGATATAAACATTTGAACATATTTTAATGCAATCTTTAAGCTAATAATGGATGTGACAGATGCAGTGTCTATGAAAACACTAAGTTTTATTAAATCTTAAGACACAAAAGGTGCTATCTTGAAACAGCTTTATTTCATTGTAAATATTTCTTATCACAATAACGTAGCTTCCTAAAACAATTTTTACGAGAATCTCTCAGAATATGCAAAATATGACAATATATTGCTCTTATGTACTACCCACCGCACCATACTTATTTTTAATACTAAACTAACATGTCAGAAAATAAAGAAAAAGAATCTAGTGTTAAGCTGTTACATGCTGCAGATACGCAATATAAGTCTATACATGTCTACTCAGATGTCTCATTCATTTTAAAGGGACTTAAGCTGAAATAAGCAAAAAAGCAAATACACACTTTCATTTTTTTGTCTACAACCCCCCCCCCCTTTATGAAAAACTTACAAATATAAACTTTTATATTTCTTTTTTAATAAAGAATTTGGCCTCTTTTTGTATCATGACATTCGGAATTATTATTTTCCAGAAAATTTGTAGATAGCCTTGCTTGTCCATTTGGGGGGGGGGATGGAAGTAATACATGTATTCGGGCCAACTAAATTGCCACAATATAGCACAAGTAATTGTTCAAGTTCTCTTGAACTCTTTAGGCTGGATAGCAAGCAAAATTACCACCACCAGGGGAAGAAAAGGCAGAGCATGATGGAAATGCCCCAAATCTACTGAAACAGGGAGGCTACTCTTCAGTGCAGTGATCTTGGGGCAGGGCTAGGGCAGTCATGTGATGTTGGGGACAGGCCCCCAGTCCTTGCTGAACCTGTAAGTGCTCCCCTCTCCCCATGCTAAAAAAAATAAATGAAGATGCCTAAAGTCTGCAATTTAAAATATCTTCATACAGGTGTGCAGGAAGGTATTACACAGATCTGGCTGAATACCCAGTATGAAGAAGTGTCCTAGAGAACTCAACATGTCTGTTCACTAATGTGTGACATTTGTTTGTCCTTATAAAAGTGTTACCCTTAGGGCTGTAACTCTTGAATTTTTCAGAAAGCTACGATGTATTTGGAAAATTCACATCATTTTTCATTTTCCGTCTTTCTTACCCTTCATAGTGGAAAGTCATCTCTTGAGTCAGGTTCACAATGAATCTTAGCACATATTCTGTATATTTGGTGGGATATAGGAGTGATCATCAAGCTTGCCCACTCTTTGTTTTAACTGAATTTATATACCGCTCTATACCTGGGGGTCTCAGGGCGGTTCACTCTCCCATCAAAGCACACAGAAACTTTAACACAAACTAGGACCTGCACATGTAAATGTCTAATTGGATGGAGGATAATTCACCTGAGTGGAATAGAGGAGTGAGAACTTAAAATCATATGCAGCACCATTTTCTGATAAGAATAAGCCTCCAACCAATTTAGTTTCTTTCTTCAGTTGCTTTCTTATTTAAAAAACCAACTATATACCACTATATTCATGATTCAGAAGTAGGTAACTTTAAGAAATTGATTCTACCCTAAATAATTTAAGACTAAGTATTACCATATGTGCATAAAGTATCTTCTGTAGTTTGGATGAATCAATCAATCCTAAAATATAAATTCCAAAAACTGATGCCACCTGCAATTGAAAAGATAAAGTAATTGGAAAAAAGTTCTGTTGAGAACATTATTAAGTAAATTAGCTAGGTTCCAAACTACCATGCAATTCCTTCCAGGAGACATGGGGGTGGGCTGGGGTGGTGACTATTTCTTATGTGAGCCTAAACAGTAGTTTGGATCCTGGCAGTTGCATCACAAATAATCTGAAGAGATCAGCCACTTCTATGAAAAACTGGAAAGTGAGGCACTGCAAAATGTCTTTTCCAAAGACAATGTGTTTACATCATTGTAAGAATCAAACACAAGAATGACCATTCAACATCACAAGATTGATTAAAGTTATTTCACCCATGGCAACTAGCTTTGAGGCTGAATTTGACACACTTTCAATAATAACTACTGAAGCCACTGCATTAAACTCAGGAAAGAAGCAAAGGCTGTGTTTACCCATAATGTTAAGTCATGATTTGTTCAATAAGCCATAAGTTGTCTCAAAGACAAGCAAACCATGACTTGTTTCTCCAAAGCTTGGTTTATGTTTCTCCCATCTACTCCTCACTCCTTGGCCTGAGTTTCCTGCCAGGCAGAGATAGGAGCAAAGGTTTCTTTAGGGAAAGCGTCAATGAAAGCTTACTAGCTACTCATGCCTCTAGGTTGGCAAGTATCTGGGGAAGGTCTGACCAAATATTAAGCAAGGATGTTGTGTGCAGATAGAATGCTAACCCAATACAAAGCACACTTTGGCTAAACAAACCATGGCTTAGGGTTATGAGTAAATCAGACCATGGAATTATTGTAATGCATTCCTTGAACACATGCCCACCATACAATACACTTTACACCATGAGCTTATTTGTACAAACATACACATACTGTAATGCATACACCCTCCCACCATCACAAAGGAACCAGCTATGAAGGGAGCTAGTGAAGAAGTACAGCAGCAGCAGTCCTGGTCCTCAACTGAGCCTGCACCTCCCAGAAACATGTGTGTGAACTCTATTGCTACACACCTTGTTGAACTGTTATTTGAACTGCACTATAAAATAGAAATGGATAATTATAATTCGGATCACTTTTACTGAAATTATCTTACCTGTGTTAGAAGAACAAACTGAGCAAACTGCCACGGAAGCATGAAAAAAACATTAGAAACAGATAGTGCAATCAGGCTTCTTCTATTAACATTCTGAGTCCTTGGGAAAAAAATAAAAGAGTAGTAAGTTCAGTATTAGGATTGTTCATTAACGTGAAGATCAATAGAGAATGAACTATTTCAAATTGCTTTGTATTTTCACTTACAGTAGTCAGCTAAAAAGATATAAGTTTAAAAACTTTGAATAAGCCTCAATGATATGGATTCTCACACTCATAATGAACTGTAAAGTAGAAATTTACACACACAAAGGATATGCAAATCAAAATGTATGTACGTGCGATAGTTCTAATCACCATTGTAAAACTATTGCATCAACACAGAAAGTGGGGAGGAAAATCCTCAGTAACATTTTCATCTAATGTCAGGCAATATGTCTCAAGCTCACATACAACCTCAACCAGCTACCCCTTTTACGAGAGGCAGGAAGCAACTTCTGACCAAGCCACTTACTGGATTTAGGTGTAGCCAGGATCACCCTGAACCCACTATTCATCCCTAAATTGAAAGAGGAGAGAAGATAGCAGTTTCAGGAAGATCCTGTGTACACATCAACCTGGTATTCAGCCATGTCAGATAGTACCTGTTGATGTCTATGGATATGTAGCAAGAGAAAAATGCCTTTGCTACATTGCCACATATGGAGAAAGAACCCACAATTATAAAAACCTCTGACTGAGGGGAAACTGCCATCAAACCATAAGCCCCAAGAGTGATAGCAGACTGGGAGGCAATTGTATTCCCCACCACTATCAGGTTTCCATGACTACAAACCTTTCTCTAATCAAGCCAGTGAGCAGTACTAACAACACTGATTTGTATAAGGAAAGCAACTATGAAAAAGAACCACCATGGTGAGATGGGTATTCACTTGCAGCAACCACATTTTTGGGGCTGCAATATCACTTCAAGGCAAAGACACAGCTAAAAACAGTTGTAGTGAGGATGAGCATTTCCTCAGTGTATTTTCAGCTCCCTGCTTTTGTACCACTGCCATTCACTGGTCCAGTTTTAAGAAAGGGGTGCTGAAAACTTTCAATAATGAACATTCCAAACGTAATAGGAATATCATGCTCTCCACAAGATACAAGTATATAAATCAATACCTTGTTTGGGATTTTGTTTTAACTCTTCATATTTAAGTAGAAAGGAGAAAAATGGAAACTACCTGAGAATGTAGGTTAGTAATAGCATCTGAACCACAAGGAACGGATATGAAAAGCTTTCACGAAGAGGGGGAGTCCACATCACACGAGTACTCTGGAAGTAAAAACTAGGTGAATTCACTGTGTGTTCCAATATTTGTTTTCCACTTCAAAGCAATGTGTTTGCAACTGAAGCTTACATATAGCAAAACTGAAATTGTGGACACTTCCACTAGCAATTAATACCTAAAAGAGTGTTGCAGTAAAGACTATAAGAGCAAAACAATGTATGCTTGAAGAATAAAAAGGTAACAAAATTTTGCAATGCTGCTGAAAAACAACTGATTTTGTTTTAACAAAATTTTATCATCTACTCTGGTAACTTCAACCGAGAAATGCAGTGGTGCAAAGCAGTAAAAGCAAAATAAATGGCAAAAATCTCTTACACGTTCATTATTTTACATTTTAAATGATGCAGCTCATCTTCTTTCTGGCATTTTTAGTTCCAGGTGGTATAAAAACATTAGGTGGCATTCAGTGCAAGTCCTACTCAGAGTAAGCCTATTAAAAGTAACTAATATGACTAATTTAGTGTCACTAACTGAGGGCTCTTGGAGAAGAGATGGATATAAATTCAATAAATTAATTTTTGTGGGTCTACTCATGAGTAAAACACTTGTTGAATACAACCCATTAGTCATATAATAGACCAATTGATTTCAACTGGTCTACTCTTGAGTATGGCCTACTTGGATATTACTCTCCATATTTCACTCAATCACTGCCATGTTGGCTTTGTAAAACTCCTAGTCAAACCAGTTAAGTAATACAATTCATATACAGCTAAATATTAAAAGAATCGGATGTGAAAGATACAAGATTGAAATATCTGGAAACAAAACAAAAAAGTAGGACCAGTCATAGGAATTATTATTTTATATTAGATTTTAAAGTGGCTACATGCATATAGTTAACATGTAACATTGCTTCAAGAGGTTACGGCTCTTTTCTTTGTCCAATAACATAGGTGTCATGGGGGAAATTCTAGTAAAATAATTTCTAATGTTCCTGGAAAGATTAATACTTGAAGAGAAGGGGGGAGGAAATATCTTCTGGAACAATTAGCTCTTTAACGACAAAGCTTTATTTATTTCCTTAATAAATATATTGTGCAAAAAAGTTTAACTATTATGCTGCTCTAATGGGCTTGCTTATGTCACCTTTTAATTATAGATATTTTAATGTTTTGATGAAACAGTTTTACTATGTGTTTTAATTATGGGTAGTTATATTTTTATAATCTCTTTTATACTTGCTGTTAGCTTTTACTTGTTTTACCTTGGTTTTTCTTCTGGAAATGAAAGGTGGATTATAGAGTATTTTAATAACAACTTAGTTCAAGTGCTATCATTCATCAAACAGATACGAAGGCTGGAAGCAACACAATCTTTGCTTGGGCTCCTTCCTGCTATTTTAAGTAGTGGCTTAGTATTATGTGTAAACCAGACCTATGCTTTAACAGTTATCTCCACATTTCCATAATTAAGAACAAATGTACAGAAAAACCACCCTTTCTCATCTGTTTATTACAGATAAACAGATAAAAATAAATTAGCAGCTGTGGTTTAACTCTCCAGTAAGCAACATATTGGGACGCAGGTGGTGCTGTGGGTTAAACCACAGAGCCTAGGACTTGCCTATCAGAAGGTTGGCAGTTCGAATGCCCGTGACAGGGTGAGCTCCCGTTGCTCAGTCCCTGCTCCTGCCAACCTAGCAGTTCGAAAGCACGTCAAAGTGCAAGTAGATAAATAGGTACCGCTCCGACGGGAAAGGTAAACAGCATTTCTGTGTGCTGCTCTGGTTCTCCAGAAGCGCCTTAGTCATGCTGGCCACATGACCCGGAAGCTGTACGCTGGCTCCCTCAGCCAATAAAGCGAGATGAGCACCGCAACCCCAGAGTCGGTCACAACTGGACCTAATGGTCAGGGGTCCCTTTACCTTTACGAAACATATTGGCCACATTTGCGTGTTATGCTAAACCAGAGCTCAGTGCAAAGTTCATAAGCAAGAACCAGGTACAGCAATAATAATAGTAATAATAATAATAATAATAATAATAATAATAATAATAATAATTTGTTTATACCCCACCCATACGGCTGGGTTTCCCCAGCCACTCTGGGCAGCTTCCAACAAAATATTAAGAGCCTTAGGCTCACATCCACCTCCCCTTTTCCCACAAAGTGGCAGGAGTTCAAAAGCTTCTGGCAGGGGTGCAGTCTCTGCAGGTCTCTGGGTGCCTAGGCATCCACAAATTTTTCAATTAGCGGGTCGGGGCTCCTCAATATTCCGCAGCCAGCCCAACACAGCCTGTTGCAGGGCTGCTGGGAGGAGCCCTGGTGTACCTTCCGAAAGGCCTAGCATGGCCTGCTATGGCTCCGACAGGCTCTGTTGGGCCCTCCCATTGCAGCAGTGGGCCTTTTGGGGGGCGTGTTGGGGTTTCTCCCAGCGTGTGACATCACATGCACACTCCAGGCACCCACAATGTGGGGTGGAATCCAGGGCATGCCTAGCTTCTGGAGTGACACAGTGTGTTAACAGCGAATGTAGTTAATTTCAAGAATGTCAGTGGCAGGCTATCAAGCTGGCAGAAGGAAAGGTTTCTGAACTGGTAGCTTACACCATGAAGGAGGAAAAGGAACGGAAGGCGAGCACACAAATCCAAGGCTTCCTGCATTGTTCTAAACCATGGTTTAGTGTGACATATGAATGCAGCAATTAAGATTTATGATATTTTCATCACATAGTTACATCAGTACCCAATCTATCCTACACAATGAATCAAATATAGTCACAGATTCTAGACACATTTGCTCGTGAGTAAGCTCTGCCAGTTCTACTGAACTGTCAAGTAAACATGCAAAGCATCATGATGCACATTACAGGAGTTTTTCATTTGCAAAAGTAAAGGTAAAGGGACCCCTGACCGTTAAGTCCAGTCGCGGCCGACTCTGGGGTTGCGGCGCTCATCTCGCTTTACTGGCCGAGGGAGCCGGCGTACAGCTTCCGGGTCATGTGGCCAGCATGACTAAGCTGCTTCTGGTGAAACCAGAGCAGTGCACAGCAACGCTGTTTACCTTTCCGCCGGAGTGGTACCTATTTATCTACTTGCACTTTGACGTGCTTTCGAACTGCTAGGTTGGTAGGAGCAGGGACCGAACAACGGGAGGTCACCCCATCGCAGGGATTTGAACCACCGACCTTCTGATCGGCAAGCCCTAGGCTCTGTGGTTTAGACCACAGCGCCACCCGCGTCCCATTTCATTTGCAAGCAGCAGTGTAAATAAAAGAATATTGACCATTTCAACCTTCCAACTTCTTTTGTGTTTTAAACCGAAACATTTACTTTAAGAGATATGAACATTATCAAATGATCTGACCTTGTATTAAACAAAATATTTTAAATTCTGAGTAACCTACCTCCCCATGGTTGAAAAAGTAGCATGCCACTGTAAGTAGTCCTCCAAACCTATTGCCACTGTAGTACAGGGGAAAGAAAAGGAAAGTAACAATTTTTGGAGTCTTTAGAAGGAGCAACTCAACATCTTTCACTACAAAATTAAAATACTGTTTACTGTATGAATTTAGCAGAAGTTTACACCCAAATGTCAGATAAGCAAAAAGAATTACTTCTTAGCAAGAGTGCTCAAACTCTAGATGTGAAAGATCAGGAATGATCCTGAGGTTTGTGTAGTTCCTTCCCCAGGTTTAGAAAGTAAGGACTGTAACCTTTCAGGCTACAGTAGCTGTTTCACAAACTTGGTCTTGATATTTACATCTGAACCAGGAGCAACTGTCTCATACAGAGCTAGAGAGGATGAGAATTAATACTGCCTATTATGTTAATATGGATTCTGCTTTGTGGCTTTGAGACTGTTTTAAATCAAGCATTCCATTCTACAAGATGCAGAAAGGAAATAAAAACATTAAGAATTTGACTACAACTTAACCATTATGTAGCTGTTAAACATTCATCTATTCTCCTTAAAAGGATGCTAATAGTTGTAGTTACACTCGTACTAAGACAGCTCTTTTGAGCTTTTTCTTTTTTTAAAAAAAAAGACTAGAAAAGATTAGGACATGGTAAGTGCAATGCAGAGAAAGTTGACTGGTAATTTGAAACTACAATAGCTTCAAAAATAATTTCTAAAATATCCATCTAATTGCTTCTCAAACACTGCCATCTAGGGGATTAATGAAACCATGATTTAAAAGTAGTTCTAAAATACGTGTCTCAGTATTAAAACTGCTAATAATTTTGAATTACAGTGCATATGTTATCTGAGGTGTTTTTTGTTTGTTTGTTTTTGAAATATTTTATATGTGATCCCAGCCAACTGGATGTCACATAGTTTATGGACAGAATGATGACGCAACACACTTGGATCATTTTGCAATGATGAGTAAATAATGAAAAACTCAAGCAAGGGCAATGATTCCAGGCCTCTCTGCAGCAGCAAATACTTCTGTCCTTATTTGCACAAGTACACACCAAAAATTGCCAGAAGGGGAGTTTCCGTAACAGCCCACAAAAGCTTTAGTGTGAAACTTCCCCTTCTCCATTTTGGCTTTATTTTGCATATACTAAAGAGGAAATATGGAGCAGCTCATCTCTGTAAACTATTCTGTTACCAGTGTCAACAAAGCACACAAAGATCCACAGAGGGCACAATTTACTCCTGATTTCACAGACTTTCCATTCTCTCAGCAAAACAAACAAAAAACCTTAAAGCTGCTCACATTTTTAAACAAGTGACCAATAAAGTGTAAAAAAGCACACAAATGAAACCATCAACATAATACACTGCTACAGATTATTGCATAGAAATGCACTGCGACCCATAGAGCTTTTTCCTTCTGGCAGCAGCTTTTCATGTTTCATGGTAGGAAGAATATTGGGGCCTGCTGCCAGAATTGGTGGAAATGAAAAGCCCGCACATGCATGCAAAAAAATCACTTTGGTTCCTGACCCACATCTGCTACTGTTATTCTCCATGGCCACTGGTTTCCACTGCAAATGACTTTTATGAGAAAAGCTGCTATTCAATTGAAATTCTGAAATTTAAGCTACACTTTATAAATTCTATCAGCGATTATTCATGTTTTGAAACTATTTAACCACTGCAGCTACTCAAGCTTTCACATATGCCTGAAGCATCTAGTCAATTGCAATCAATTACACAAATACAAGCAAATGGAATTGTTTAAACTGCAAACTGTTAGAAGCTAAATGTAGCTTTAGACATATACCCAGGAAATGGAAGTTGCTACTTTTTATGCACCCCTACTCTGGGAAGATGTTCACTTCTGTTACATGCCAATTGACATTTGTTCTAATTCAGCAATAAACAACGGGTTTTCCCGAGGAAAGTGGTGGGACAAAAGAAAAATCTCTTAGACCCATGCCTAGAAATCAAAGAACAAAGAGAAATGAACCCGTAGTTACTGTGATATCCAACTCTGAATTCCAGTGAAATAGAGCAGTGCCTTTGGAATCCTAGCATAAATGTTTAGCTGAAAAATTAAGTACAGTACTAGCTTCCCTTAAATTCAACCAAGAACTGATATTCTGTTAGTAAAAGTCCAAATTTACAAAGTAAAAAGGAAAGGAAAGAACTCAACTTTTGGTGACATGACAGCATCCTGACTCACGATTCAGAAGCAACAGTCTCTGAAGGCTACATTCTAAGATTGTATCACCATTGTGATCCCAAGCATACCCTTGGCATGTATAAGTGTTGCTTCTGACATAGCTTTTCAATGTAACATAAATAAGCACATTTATATCTTGTGACCAGCTTTTGGAGTTTTGCCAATGTTAATAAACTGGCACACTTCCTACAAAGGATTGAAGCTATTCAAAATCAATACTTCAGAACTATACTTAAGGTGCCGAATGGTACTCCAGTAACCTTGTGCCTTCACATTAACACAACTTTGGACCACATCCAGCAGTATATGTATGTTAACTTGAGTTCAGATATAATTAGGTTTGCAGGGCAGGGTCAAACAGCCTAAATTAAGAATGCAATACAGACTGAACTACATTTAGAGGCAGAATAAATATTCCCTAACACTACAAAATCTGTTCTTGTTCTATTATCCTGCCACATTTCCTTTGGTATATTTTTCAAACAGCAAGCTACAAAGATTTAGTCCAGATTTCAAGAAAGTAAATTTTTTGTTTCAGTCTCATAAAAAGGGAGATTTAAAAGAAAGGGGGAGATAAGATTAGAACAAACATCTTAAAGCTCAATTACATCATTTGGCTCTTAGTGTGCAGGACTCCACATAAAATGCAGTGTGCTGTATATTTAAAAATACAAAAAGTGATAGTAACTTTCAATGTATCAGCTTTTCTTCTTGTGCACCTTACCTTAGGTATGTGCCATATAGGAAGAATATTGACACCATTAATCCATTCAGAAGAAATATCATAGCCACATAAAAAGAAGCAGGATCTCCCAACCCTACAGAACAAACAAGTATTATTAAAACTATATAATGCAACAGCAAAGACAAGCTACAAGGAAAAAAGCATTTCAGAAAGCCAAATCTGTTCTCCCCTCAGAAAAAGAAGATCTTTGTGATGGCAGTTGGGGGAAGGAGGGACCACCTCAGCTGGAACATCAGAAGCTCTAGTATGAACATCTTCTGCAGTATGGAAGAATAGAGGAGCAAAGAGCAAAAAATATTTAGATAATTCACTCTCACATCAGCTAATAAGAATAAATTATGAACTGACTTTAATTTTCCCCTGTTTTTGTCTATTTTTGGTCTTCAACTCAACATGCTGATAAAGAATATTTATGTATTTATAAAAATGTTTATATATGACTAATTCATTTGAAAGAATAAAAGCAGTTTACAACTAGACATAAAACCATAAAATAAAAACTATGCACAAAGTTAAAATCAGACATCAATTAACTGTTGTGGAAAGATATATTCCTAATTGCCTGCACAGACCTGGCAGAAAAGAAAAGTCAGCAGGCATTTAAAAGTTGAAACAAAAAATGTCTGCTGTCATAAATTAAGCCCAGGAACTGAGACAATTTTCTCCACTGTCATTAGTTGCAAGAGATATTTGTCAATATGCATGTATCTATAACTTTTTATGACTGCAGTTGTAAAACAATACAAGGCCAACAAAAAGGATGCAACTGTGTAACAGTTAGGCATGATGCACACCTAATTTGTGAAAACAAATCCATAAGACTGTACATTTTGTTATTTCCATCTAGGAGATTGCAAATTTCCAGCCTGATATAAAAAGAAAACAGATTGAGATCCAGAAGCATTATTGCAAGGAATCAAATGTACGAGTGTTGTGGCTGCTAATTGGAAGTATCCAATCACCGCAAATGCAGTACTTCCTGCCATCTTAACAGCAGTTAAGACTGAGTAAGGAGCAGGAGAAAGGTCCATGAATTTACAGAAATATAGCAACCAGCTACTAATCTTTCTCCTACCCTCCTAGCTATCCTAACTTTCAGTCTGTTGCTGAGATACTGGTGCCATCCTTATTATTTTGAGATGAATGTTTATGCTTCATCAGTCATACTGATGACCGGGGTGAATTTGCCCACATACTCCCTGTTTCTTGGTGAAATAGAGAACATCTAAGACACAATGTGTGGTTAAGGTTGAAGGTTTCCAAACTGACAGAAAAACTAAAGATGGCGTTTTCATCTAACAAGTTTACAAAACCTGAAAAAGCACACATGCCCTTCAGTATCTTTAAAAAGCCACTTGAAGATTCTTTGTAATATAGTAAATTGTTTACTGCAATTTATTTTTGTAATTTAGCAAATTATTTATTGCAAGCTAAAATCTTTCATCAGTCCACAGATGTAGCAAACACCTCAGTTTTTCTTTGCCTACACAAAGGAGGCTTTGTAAACCTTCCCCTGGTGTTTCATATGCCATCATGCAAAACATCCAATAATGAACAAAGACCAAGCAACACTTGCCTTCACAGCTCTCAACAGGACTGAGGTCTTCTCCTCTATTCACTGTCCAACATTTCTTTGTCGGAATACCCATCACATTCATCGTTTCTGTGTATAATCGGTACCAAAAGCCTACAACAACCTGTGCAGAAAATAGGATTTAGAATTTCAAAAGAATTTTTTGACTCAGATTATCCTGATGATTAAAAGCTTATCTGTTGCTATTCAGAAATATCTGTCTAGTTTAAGATGTTTTTTCTTCCAAGATACTACATTTGACCTCTTACAACATTGTTTATGAGATGAAAGCTCAAACTACAGAGCCAATAATCTTGTACCACAAAGCATACTCATACAGCCTTCTCCAGGTTTTATGTTAAGGGTTGAACCAGCTGTTGCACTGGATACGCATCTGGCACTAAAATAACCACAGTGTATTTATCTCCCTCCTACAACTGGCAAGGAGTTTTGTAGAGTTTTACCTACGCCTTGACATCAAAATGTGAGCTCCAGGATTTATGCATACAACCACATAATGGAATTAAAGCCAAAATGTAAGAAGTGCCTTACCTCTGGATAGACATTAAATCGTTTCAATGTGTTGATTACAAGAGGATACTCAGTTAGCTTGTCATTCATAATCGTCCAGACTCCATTCAGAAAGGATGGTGCCTCAGTGATGGTCTTGAAATAAGAATAATAAAGACCCTAAAGAGAATATATATATATTAAGATGAAATTAATTAGCAGGAACCTTCACATTGTATTCTTCTCTTACAGCAACAGAAGTCAATAAATTACAGCTATTAATTTAAGTACTAATGAATCTACTTAACCTTTTTAAAACCACACCTAGGATGTGCCCTTCTTCTATTCTTGAAGGATGGGCACTGCTTGTTAATACAACAGTGATTCGTACTGTATGTTTTCTTAAAAACTTGTAAGATGCTTTAAGACTATTTTTGCAGTTAGTGACAAACAAACAAACAAAAAAACAAACAAACAAACAAGGTTCACTGAAACACAGCAGCTTCAAAAAATGCAGTTTGAAGTTGGTTTATTTCAATATTTGTAGCTAAAAACTGCAATTAAAGTTGGCTTATTTTAAAAAAAAACATAGATAGAATTTACTAAAGTTTGTTGGGACAGTGAAGTGAAAAGCTGCAGTTAAAAACACAGAAGCGGAAGCTTCCAATCTTCTCAGACATGCTAGAGAACAGGGTGGGAGTGGGGAGTGAACGAACCTAAAGGGAGGCTACACTCATTGCTGCCACAGTTTAGTGTGATGTCCAAACTCAGCCAAAAATAATTTGTAAGCAGTGTTTGCTTTCAAAAAGTAGAAGAGCAGAAATGTTGAATAAACACGACTAAATATAAATATAATCATTCTAGGTAATTTGAGAGAATGAAAGAACAAAAATTAAAATCTTATTTTATTAATAGCTTATCATACCAATATTTGCAATACCCATTTGATTCAGAAATCCACTTTCATGGCTGTTTCATTTTTTAAAAATAAATCACAGGCAAGAATGTATACTATTTTAAACCACTATTACAGAACTGGTAAGTATCCATGGCTGGCTGAAAAACACATTTTGGGTAACAGCTTTAAAAATAGCAGTGTCACTTAAAGTACAGAAGCTCTAACCATTTCAGTTCGAAAAGCCATTTCCCTTTCCAGGGTTGAAAGATGAGAAAAGTGGCGGTCATTTTCAAAGAGAGCTGTTATATGGCACCTAAAGAAACAAAAAACAACAAAACTCAGAAATAAATCTGCAGCTTAAAGGAACTAGTATTAAATTACAACAGCCTTGTAAATGAGATCACAAAAATAAATGGTGTACTTTTTTTTGTTAGCCTACACAGAGAGAATAGCAGATGAGGAACAGGGCAATACAGCTGTCATCCCCCAGCCCACTCTGTTTCTATGCAGGATGCAGAGAAGCAGACTTCCCTAAGCAGAACCACATGGTTCCTTAAACCAGGATGACAGTTGTCAAAACAGGGCCAGATGGCTCAAAAGTCGTATTTTACAATACAACTTTTTAGTTCCTGAAATTTATTCTGATTGTGCAGATAAAATATCACAGATTGAATTCTACAGTGTGTGAATTGCTAGTGTGTGAAGGCAAACAAGATCCAAGGATCCCCAGGCATGCACCTCCAGATGATGGAGACATCAGGTGCCATCCTGGTGCCCAGATATCAGCCCACAAGTGGCTAATAGCCAGGTGCCAAATGCGCCTGGCGAATTTCAAACTCTGGATATAGCCCATGGCAGTTCATCAGGAAAGGGTCTAGCTTCCTGGACCTGGGAAATAAACCATCCCCCAAAGAGAAAAATATAGCAGGGAAAGGTGCATGCATGAAGATGTGTGGGTAAACTAAAAAGGTTGGGTAAAAAAGAATGAGAGACTGAAGCTCTGATTGTTTGTCCATATAAAAGGAGAGAGACAAGAAAACTCAAATATAGGAACTATTGCCTAAGGCATTAATAATATAACAAGATCACAATTTTAGGTGGACCTTGATGAGACACACATGCCTGCTGAGACCTTGTAACAGAGATAAACTTACCAGTGAAGAATTCCAGCAACGGCAGCTGTTTAAAACAAATCACAAAAAGGTAAGTTACTTCAACCTCCTGTTTTAAAAATCTTTAAAAAGTTACACCTAGTTCTCAGGGACAGCAATAGGGACCCAGAATATTACTCTTTCTTATTTTAAATGTATTTTATATATAAAGGTAAAGGTACCCCTGCCCGTACGGGCCAGTCTTGACAGACTCTAGGGTTGTGCGCTCATCTCACTCTAGAGGCCGGGAGACAGCGCTGTCCGCAGACACTTCCGGATCACGTGGCCAGCGTGACAAGCTGCATCTGGCGAGCCAGCGCAGCACACGGAAACGCCGTTTACCTTCCCGCTATTAAGCGGTACCTATTTATCTACTTGCACCCGGGGGTGCTTTCGAACTGCTAGGTTGGCAGGCGCTGGGACCGAACGACGGGAGCGCACCCCACCGCGGGGATTCGAACCGCCGACCATGCGATCGGCAAGTCCTAGGCGCTGAGGTTTTACCCACAGCGCCACCCGCGTCCCTATTTTAGATATATAACTGTACAAATGAGAGCATGACCCGGACCAACAAAGACTGAAGTCAAACTATTTGAATACTGGTTCCCCAGAAGGTAGAATCATGATACTATGTCCAGAGAGCAATTTCATTACACTAGAAGCACAAAGACATGCACACTTAAACTATCAGTGTAACCTCTGCTACGTAGTATGAACAAATCAGAAAACAGTAGATTGAATCACCAGTACATGAAGTCTATGGCATCTTACTTTAAAATTAGGGCCCTTGTCATTGGAATTGTGAAAACCTCACGTATTTGGTCACTAGATGTCTGAAAATGTGAGGTCAACTCTAAGAATGAAGTTAAATGAACTTAAGTTTCATCTACAGTACTCAAACAGTGACAATATCATACTTAATGCACTGAAGTAATCTAGTAACATTGGCCTCTATCTAATTGTGTCCCTCCGCTGCCAGAACCCTCCTCAATCCAGTGAAGTTTCCATTATCAAAAGGTAGGTTTGTGTGCAATTTTCAGTGACCCTCACTTCCTTATGCTGCCTCCTGTACTCTCCCAAGATCTACTCCAGAGGGTTGGGGACCCTTTAGAAAAGCATGCTAGGTGACTGCAGAAAAAAATCATTTTCTCTACACTAGCTCACAGCAACCTCTACTGGATCAAAGGGCCTGCCAACACCAGAGGCACACAACTGGATACAACCCTCTGCCCTTATTAGAATCAAAAGCATATCAACAGCTGAGACTTAGCTTGCAATCCTGTATACACTTACCTAGAAGTAACTCCAACTGAACTCAGTAAGAGTTACCTCTGAGTAGAAATGGAGGACTGCATTGTTAAAAAACTACAATTTTAAACATATATTTCTTCCTACCCATTATAAGGGTAATCCATATCTTGCTATCTGCTCTTGCGATGAAGATTCCTGTTTCATTCAGATAAGCTGTGTTAAAAAACAAAATAATTTCATTAGACTTTCTAATTGCACAAAGTTATTTCTTTAAAAGTTGTATTTCAACTTACAGAAGTTCACAAATTTGCTCTGGGCAAAAAGAGATGACTTTTACAAAGTTCTTTTATGTGCACTTTTTGCATTTTTTGCTTTTATTTGAATCCAGGACTTTACACCACTACCACCAACAATAGCAAGTATCAATACTGAGTTAGAGCAGGTATAGTCCAAACGAACCTGAATAACATTTTATTTAGTTTCTGCATGATTATTAATACTTGGACTAAATGCAGATCTAAGTTCCCAATTCAAACAAATGCAGATCATTACTTTAAATTCATACTATTGGTTAAATTAAAAGCCTTAAAAGTTCTTTAGGTAATAGCTTATTGCATGTGAAGACCAATCCTATGCATGTTTCCTCCTAAGCAAGTCCCAGTGAGGTTAGTGGGGTATACTCTTAAGAAAACACATGGGATTGCAGTCTTATGCACTGTATTATATAGCATGTTTCCTGAGGAAAGGACAAGTATGCACAGTCCTTAAACAATACTGTAGTAATCCAGCAAAATATACTATGTTGCCTAAGGAGATAAAAATCACATTCTGCACTGTTAAGGAAAGCTGACAAACCCCACCATGTTTTGCTTACATCACAATTTAGGAGACAGCTTGATAGAACATAATCTACAGAGAAAAAGGTACGTCTCTTTATGATTTCAGCACTTTTAAAAATCACAGGAACATGGAAAACAAAAGCCTAACTTATCCCCCCCCCAAAAAAAAGAACCCTCACAACCCTTTGCTTAAGCTTTATAAATGTAAACCCAACACCACTGAAATTGATCACAAGGATTTTCATTAGGTTGCCAACCTTCCAAGTATCAGAGAAGCAAACTGAAGAAATGAAAGAGCCATAGAGGTTTTATTGGGTGTCTTGATTTAAAGGAACAATTTATCGTCCTAGCGAAAGGGTGATTTAGAGAGCAGCATCCCTAGTTGAAGTCAGGGTGATGTCCTCTGCCTTCTTACTCATAAATTCTCGGTCCCATCAGTATCTAAGCCCTTTCCCATTTTCACCCCTTCCAAGAATTCAGCAGCGGGTTGCATCCTTTCCATTCCCATTCAAGCCCTACCCGCGAAATATATATAGATATATATATGAAAAAAAAAAATAACCCGCTCTTTCATCAACCTGCAACAAAGTGGCTCAAGGCACGCAAAATGCAATAAAGACCAATATACAATTGAAAACATCCAAAAGGGCAAGTGAAGCGACTTCTCGTCAAAGGGGGGTTTGACGATCGCCTGTCCATCCATCTATTTCTAACTATCCTGACGACTCGCTGACTTCCTTTCTGCCAACCTTATTTCTGAGGATAGATAGAAATTTCCCCAAAAAAAGCCGCATTTTGTTACACGTTTGGATAACATTAATTTTTTTTTAAAAGTTTTTTTTTTTAAGGGGGGGCGGAAACCAAATATTGCAAGCGAACCCCTCCCCCCACCCCAAAGAAGAACTCCCGTTCAATCCGAGGAAGGGTTCGCGTTCACACGGAAGCGAATTCCGCCTCCGCCACATCACTTCTCGGGGGGAGAAGCCCCGTTGTGGGCTGGCTTGCTCCCGAGTAAGCCCGCTGGGAAGGGCCGGGCCCCGATCCCGCCTCTCACCGCGCAGCCAGTCCTGGCACTCGCGGATCCCCCGGGCCAGGCGCTCGCGCTGCTCCTCCGGGCGGGGGCTGCCGTTCTTGGCCGCCCTCCTGCCGCCGCCCCCCCGCTTCATGGCGCTCGAGGCCCCGCCGGGGAGCTGCCTGCCCAGAGGCTGCTGGAGGCCGCGGGCGGCGGCGGCGGCGGCGGCCGGTCCCTTCTCGGCGTGGGCTCGGCTGGGGCTGCTGCGCTCGGGCTCGCCGGCTCCGCTCAGGCCCCGCTGCTGCCGCCTGCCTTCCTGAGGTAACGGCGGAGGGGGAGAAGGCGGAGAAGGGGAAGCGCCGCCTCCTCCGCCGCCGCCGCCGCCTGAGGGGGGCGGCGCCTTCTTGGCCAAGCCTCGCCTCGGCCGGCCCATTCCCGGAGCGGGGCGGGACGAGGCCCGAGCGGGAGGAAGAGGCTCCCAAGCAGCGCGCGCGCGCTCCCGCGGCGAGGTAACGGCCGAGAGGAAGAGCCTCTCGCGCGCCCGGGCAACTGCCGGTGCGCGCGCACGGCCCCGCCCCCTTCCCTCTCGCCGCGTGGAATTCCAGAGTTCGAAAGGGGCTCCCGGGGGTCATCTAGTCCAACCCCCCCCCACGTGGCCTCTTTGCACCAGCGGCGATCCTAAAGGCACGAAGGGAAGAGGGCGTCCTCTCTCCAATGCCCCATCTCCCCGGCAGTGATTCTTTTAATTTGGCGATCACTTGTAGCTGAGTAAGGTTGGCTTCCATGAACGCGGTTTTAACGATGAGTCCATAAGTGACTGTGGATCCATTCTGGATCCGCACGTCCTTCCACAGTGGGGACATCGGTTTCCAGGATGGAGTTGATAACGGTGTGGATTTGCCAAGAGTGCCTTCCTCTTAGCATGTTTCTCCCTTGCATCCTGAGTTCGAGTGTATTCAAAGCCCATGGCACCTTTGGTAAAGGCTGTTCTCCAACTGGAGCGCTCACAGGCCAGTGTTTCCCAGTTGTTGGTATTTATACTACATTTTTAAAGATTTCCCTTGAGAGAGTCTTTAAACCTCTTTTGTTGACCACCAGCATTACGCTTTACATCTTTAAGTTCGGAATAGAGTAGTTGCTTTGGAAGACGATCATCAGGCATCCGCACAACCAGTCCAACGAAGTTGATGTTGAAGAATCATTTCTCCAACACTGGTGATCTTTGCTTCTTCCAGTACACTAGCATTAGTTCGCCTGTCTTCCCAAGTGATGTGTAAGATTTTTCGGAGATCTACCAACCATACTGTATGCTTGTGAAACATGGGCCACTTATAAACGCCATCTCCAACTCCTCGAAAGATTACATCAGCAGTGTCTCCGAAAAATTTTACACATCACTTGGGAAGACAGGCGAACTAATGCTAGTGTACTGGAAGAAGCAAATAGCTCTGTAAACAAGCATTTTGGTTTCTCCGCAAATGTCCCGGTCCTCAAACACTTCAATTGGAAGAAAGCTAGACTCCATCTCCTCAGCAGCTGGGATGCAGGAATAGACTGCCCCTGCACGAAGAGGCTCCGCAGCTCAGGATATGACAGGCCAGCTCCATTGCTCATAATAATAATAATAATCAGGCCTCCTCTCCTGACAACTGTCATCTGGGAGCAGCCATTCCGTCCATGCCAGGGCTCGTTGCCCCTGCTTTGCTGGAGGCCCAGCTCCACCAGGCACTTCCTGCCTCTGAACTGTGTCCATATAGGAGCAACCCTCTAGAAAATTGGTGCCTGCGTTTTGAGTTTTATTTTCCTGGGCCTTTCTTCTCCTTTTCCCCTTGTGTGTTGTGTGTGATCTATTTATTTGAATGTAAGCCTGCAGGTAGCCTTGCTTTGAATTCCTGTAAGCTGCTCTGGGAGCCTTTTCGGCAGGGTACAAATGTTCAGGCCTAGCTCTCACCGGTCTCACAGACAACAGATTCAGCAATCTGCCTTCCTTATGCCTTTTATGGAGTTTTTTTCACTAAGACTTATTGCCAAAGAAGTAAAGTTGCTGTGCAGACAGAGTCTTTCTAACTCCTAGCAAGTTGAGGGGGGGGCACCCATTTTTTTTTCTGGCGCAGAGCCACTTCCTTTGTTACCTTAATGGCCCATACTTAGACGGTCATTACCTTACCAGGAAGCTAGCCTGGCTGTTCCAGGGATTGAATCCATGATGGATCCAGGAATTAGAAGGAACTCCGATATACATCCTACCACTACCACCACCCTGTACAAACTTATAAGAGTATGCTGAATTCCCCCAGTTGCTGCCCATAAGTATCAGAGTCTTTGTGATTAACTGATTTTTATCTCCAGCTCTCTCCATTTCACATTCCTTCTACTTTTGCTGCTGCTCCTTCGGATGCCTTGTCCATCCTGTCCTGACATTTGCTTGGTCTAATTTTCAAAAAATTAAATAAAAATTTCCTACCAATCTGTTTTAAATTTACGAAGAAGGAGTACACAGTCCTAATCTCCTAACAGTTCTGGCATCACTAATCTGCATTATATGTTCTTGAGTATGTACTCTTCCTTAAGAGCATTAGGAACCTTCCTAGATCAAAATCTGCCTTGTCGTATTTATTGCAAGAACTTGCTGGTGAGGATTAAGTGACCCATCCAAAACTGGTGAACTGTAGTGTTCTGGTCAGGTGAACCGTAGTGTACCTTCTGCCTATCAGTGCCCTAATCAATAAACTGTTCATACTAAAGAACAGCTTGTACTTTTTAAAAATATATATATAATTTTGAATGTGCCACTTCACTAGCCAGCTTCTGAACCACAGAAACTGCATCCCATTAGCCCTTGCTTTTTGTGTACTGTTACACTCTCAGTCACGTCCGCCCACATTCTAGAAGCTTTATCCAGCTTTCTCTGTCCTCCGGCGAAGAATGCTACAAATAAAGCACAATGTCTTTGAAACGAGAACTGTCTTGCCATTCATTATTTAGAAAGTCTGGAGCGGGGCTTGCTGCCTTTTGAGGCTGCTTTTTCAAACAAGAGTCAATCCTTAGCTGGTCTAGTCTCCCAAATAGCTCTAGCAAAGTCAATAGATAAACACTGATTTATGCTAGCTAAGCATCTAACCCTGGATTTAACAGTATCTGGGTTTTGTGATAAAGGGTTTCTTTGCAGATGGATTTTACTGAGACATAAGTCTACTCTTTTTAATCCCACTGCTGCAAATATTCACATATTGAGAGCTCTTTGTACTGCCTGCTGTAAAGCAGGAAGATTTAAGGACATGTTTGTGGGGTGGGTGAGGGGGGAGCAGAACGCCGCAGTAATTTATATTCCGCAGAACCCGTACCCAGAGTTCATACACAAAACCGCACTTTGTACTCTCTTATTAATTGATCTGGAATAACTACTACCCACCTGGTTTTGTATGCACAATTGCTCATGCTAATTGAAATCCTCTCTTCATTTGTAACTATGCGTTAAAATGTGGGAGAAATTGCACCGGGATCTTGATTGTGACTAAAACAGGGTGGTCAAAGGGGTCAAGTCACATTAAGCGATCAAGAATATTCAGACATGAGCAAGCTCCTAATCAGTAGCATTCCTGTTTTTATACTGAATATTCAAAGCTGATTAATGGACAGATCCATAACATGAAGCCTCTGCGCTTATAAACGATCCCATTTTAATTCCTTTTTTTTAAAAAGAAGAAGATTGATTTTGAATTTTAACGTAGTTATTTAATTGCACATTACATTTGTTTTGGAATGGCATCTAATAAATATTGCAAATGAATATATTCAGGCTGCAGTTCTACACAGACTTTCCCTGGGAATCATTCCTGTTGAATTTAGTGGGACTAGGTGCTCAACATCCAACCCCAGTCTGAGGGCACTTCTACACAGTCCCCATTTTCAGGTGGGATTCAATCATAGAACAGCAAATTTGGGTTGCACGATTAAAGTCGATTAGCGTTCTTGCATAGCAAGAGTTTTCCCCGCCCCCCAAATAAGACTTTTCATGATAAGTAAATGCACTAGAAGGGGTGAGAGAATAGTTGTTTGATGCAACATTGTCTAACCTCCATGCACACTTCGTGCAAACAAATCAGGATGCCCAGTAAATAGGTCATCGGGAAGCAGCTTGAAATTGTGCTTCTGTTTGGAAGAATTCTTTTCTTCCTGGCTGGACTGATCTCTTGAAAAGCCTTTGTTATATCACTGTATGCATTTCTGAGCAAAACAATAATGTTCTGTGCTTGGCTGGAGGCTGGTTTTTTCAGGTTTACGAAACAAAACAAAAGTGCCTGTAACAATTGCTGTGACAGACTATACATGGGTGTACATAAAATTAAATATTTAATCACTATACATCTTAGAATAAATTACATTCATACCAGTTGGCCTTTATATGAGATTCTATTTTAATAGATTCTTTATCATATAGGTTCTGTTTGTAATTGTGCTGGGGAAAATAATTGATGCTTGCTTATCTGCTTAATTTTCTGTGTGGTGGCTAAAGGCTAATACTGTCATCATGCATGGATAATTGCCTGGAGCTGGACATTACAGTATCAAAGTCAGAATGAAACAAAATGCCATCTAATCCAATCCTCTGCCTTGAGGCAGAACCATCCACAGCCTCTCGCAGAACAGCCATGCAATCCTGCCCATGGTGTGTCACAAGCAGACCGCATAGGCATTGCAAAGGGTGCTTTCAGAGCAAAAAGCTCAAGATGCATTATCCAAATGACCAGAGGGCATTATTCGCTTATTAAAAACATTGATAACCCACCCTGCATGTGCACAGATACCAAGGTGGGGGTGCAGAAGAGAACATTTACAAACCATGTAGTGCATGGGTAGGCAAACTAAGGCCTGGGGGCCAGATCCAGCCCAATCGCCTTCTAAATCCGGCCTGTGGATGGTCCAGGAATCAGCATGTTTTTACATGAGTAGAAATGTCCTTTTATTTAAAATGCATCTCTGGATTATTTGTGGGGCCTGCCTGGTGTTTTTATACGAGTAGAATGTGTGCTTTTATTTAAAATGCATCTCTGGGTTATTTGTGGGGCATAGGAATTCGTTCATTTCCCCCCTCAAAATATAGTCCGGCCCCCCACAAGGTCTGAGGGACAGTGGACCGGCCCCCTGCTGAAAAAGTTTGCTGACCCCTGATGTAGTATATGGAATGATAGGGGAGGGGTAGCTGGTGGGAGACACTTCTTCGGGGGTAACTTGCCCACCTTTCGTCCCCGCATTTTGCACACAGCTCTCACCTGTGACTCCTAAAAGATGTCAGCATGTGACAGAAGCCACACTCTGGGAAATGGCTTTCAAATGGCCAGCTAAACCAGGTGAGGGGAACTGGTGGGTCCCAAACCGTTGCTGAGTTACGAATAGGAAGACAGACTCCGGTGGGTTGAGTGGATGAGACCAATAAAGGTAAAGGGTAAAGGGACCGCTGACCATTAGGTCCAGTCATGGCCGACTCTGGGGTTGTGGCGCTCATCTCA